TTTTATACTGAAGTATAATTGATTTACAATGTTGTCTTCAGGTATATAGCAAAGTGATTCAGTTATACATGTATTTATTCTTTTCCCATATAGGTTATTACATAATATCAACTAGTGTTCCCTCTACCATAGTGTAAGTTCTTATTGGTTATCTATTTTATATATACTAGTGTGTATGTCAACGGAGAAGGCAATGTCAACCCACTCCAGTGTTCTTGCCTGGAGAATCCCAGGGACGGGGGAGCCTGGCGGGCTGCTGTCTCTAGGGTCGCACAGAGTTGGACACGACTGAAGTGACTTAGCAGCAGCAGTGTGTAGGTCAAACCCAAGCTCTTAATTGCCCTTCCCAACATTTCCTCTGATAACCATAAATTTGTTTTTGACATCTGTGACTCTGTTTCTGTTTTTAATTAACAATTTAAAAATGAGCAATTCAGTAGGATTTATTGCATGTACAATGTTGTACAATATCACATCTATCTAGTTCCAAAACATCTCCTTCACCCCAAAGGGACGTCATACTCATTAAATAGCCACTCCCCATTCTCCACTCCCCTAGCCCCCAGAAACCACTATCTACTTCCTGTCTCTATGGATTTGCCTATTCTGGACATTTCATATACATGGAATTATATGATATGTTTCCTTTTGTGTCTGGCTTCTCTCAGTTACAGTGATGTTCTTGAGGTTCATACACTTTGTAGCATGTGTCAACACACAAAAAAAAGCTGCTAGGAAAAAGTATTCTTTAGATTTTCACTTCTGATAGCAATACACCTACAGTTTCTCTTTTAAAAACAAAGATGACCAACATCTTTAGTCATCAGGGAAATACAAATCAAAACCACAATGAAGTATCACTTCACTCTCACTGGAATGACTACATTTTTTTAAACAACAGAATATAGCATGTGTTAGAAGGTATGTGGAGAAATGGAACTGCTGCACTCAGGCCCTTGGGCTCTTTAATTAGTGGAAGTTGATAGAAGGCCAGATGAAAATTTCAAGTAAGACTTTACTGGGGCTCATGCTGCAACAAGGGGGAGCAAAAACAAGACCAGGTGCCCTTGCTAGGTCCTCAGGTTCGGCGGGCGGAAGCAGGGGGCAAGCAGGTTTCTTAAACCAGAGGCTGGGATCAGTGGGTTAGACAGGAGGCATAGCTTAGGTGGCTGCCCATCCCCTTGGTGGTGCTTTCATGTGCAGTACCCTGCTTTTGCTCTTGGCATCTCAGAAAAGGCTTGTTGGGTTGTTGTCTTTTTGTATCTTACTGTTCATATTGCTCACACTGCACTTGCTTATTGGCGGTTATTTTTAGTCCCTTTTGGTTTCTTTGTATTCTGTTGCTCAAGGAGACATTTGACCAGGTGCAAGCACTCCTGTAGGGCTGCCCAGGTGGCTCAGTAGTAAAGAATCCACCTGCAACTCATAAGACCTGGGTTGTATTCCTGGATTGGGAAGATCCCCTGGTGAAGGAAATGGCGACCAGCTCCAGTATTTTTGCCTGGGAAATCCCATGGATAGATGAGTCTGGTGGGCTAGAGCCTATGGGGTCATAAAGAGTCAGACATGACTTGGTGACTAAACAACAATAAAAACAACAAAGTAAAAATGAGATGGATGAAACTGGAGCCCATTAAACAGAGTGAAGTAAGCCAGAAAGATAAAGACCATTACAGTATACTAACACATATATATGGAATTTAGAAAGATGGTAACGATAACCCTATATGCAAAACAGAAAAAGAGACACAGATGTATAGAACAGACTTTTGGACTCTGTGGGAGAAGGCGAGGGTGGGATGTTTCAAGAGAACAGCATCGAAACATGTGTATTATCTAGGGTGAAACAGATCACCAGCCCAGGTTGGATGCATGAGACAAGTGCTCGGACCTGGTGCACTGGGAAGACCCAGAGGGATTGGGCGGAGAGGGAGGTGGGAGGAGGGATCGGGATGGGGAACACATGTAAATCCATGGCTGATTCATGTCAATGTATGACAAAACCCACTACAATATTGTAAAGTAATTAGCCTCCAACTAATAAAAAAAATAAATTAAAAAAAAAACAACAAAGCACTCCTGTAAAGGGTCCCAGGTCCCACTCTATCTCAGAACGACTATACATTGCTGGTGGGAATGTAAAATAGTGCCACCACAATGGAAAACATTTCAGCAGTCCCTCAAAGTGATACATACAATTACTCTATCACCCAGAAATTCCATTTATGGATATATATCCCAAAGAATTAAAAATAGGGACTCAAACATTTATCCATGAATGTTCACAGCTGTGCTATTCATAATAGCCAAAAGATGGAAAACGACTCAACCATCCATCAACAGATGAATGGATAAACAGACTGAAGTGTATAAATACAATGTAATATTGTTCAGCCATTCAAAGGAATGAGTATCTGTTTATGTGTGCTGAGAGACATTTGCATTCATTAGTTTGTCCCTGGAGCCAGACTACCTAGATTTGAATGCTAAATCTGCCACTTCAAGCTGGGTGGACAATGGACAAGTGAGAGTCTCTGCTGCCTTCCTCATCGGGCTTTTGTAAGAAGCATAGGATGTTGCATGCTCTGCCCAGTTCCAGCCACATTACAAATCCTTAACACATCATAACTGTTTTCAAGAGGCTTCTCAGGTGGCACTAATGATAAAGAATCTGCTTGCTGATGCAGAAAATGCAATAGACAGTGGGTTTGATCCTTGTGTTGGGAAGATCCCTTGAGGAGGAAATGGCAACTCACTCCAGTATTCTTGCCTGAAAAATTCCATGCACAAGAGGAGCCTGGTGGGATACAGTCCATGGGGTCACAAAGAGGCAGACATTACTGAGTGCCTGAGAACACACACAACTGTTTTCAGGAATAACATATCTAAAATCTTCTTCATTGGAAAAACTGAGTTCCATGCTAACCCTCTGGCAGCCAAAAGAGACAGATCTGAAGACTGGCAATGCTCTTGGGCCAAAAACTCTTTCTCTCAGGGGTCCTAGACTCAAAGGCTTCACTGGGGAAGATGAGCTAATTGTAGTCACCTAACAAGATTCTCTGGGGATCATACCCAAAGGCCAGAGATTCTGATATGAATCTGCCGGTGTGATTCTGCTGTGTGTTCTCTGACAAAGCCTGCTCTTCATCCACAGTTGCAAGACAAAGTTGAGGTTGCAGGAACCCCACCCACCTGGAAACAGGACCCCTGAGGGGCTGAGAGGTCCTGGAATCCGATAGAGGTACGGTAGTCATTGGTTAATAAGGCATCAGGAACACAAGCTGCAATTGAGCTTGTCTCAGGCAAGATCCTTCCCCACCAAACTTAGGGGGACTCTCTGATCAGTTTCATCCACAAAGACTTAGATTACCTGGTATCAGAGCCTCATAGATGGGGAGGGGTATTGTGAGTTGGTCAAGAGAGTGGATATTTGAATCAGAGCATGAGCTGGATCCCAGATCCATGCAGGAGTCAGGTTTGGAGCCTCAGCTGTTGACTCATGATGTGGCTGAAGGTTGAATGGGATGATAATTGTTAAGAGGCTAGCTCACAGTGGATTGCATAGAATAAAAGTCACTGTACCACTCTAAGGACTTCCCTGGTGGCTCAGCGGTAAAGAATTCACCTGAAATGCAAAAGACACAAGAGACTCAGTTTCAGTCACTGGGTCAAGAAGATCCCCTGGAGGAGGCATGGCAGCCCACTCCAGTATTCCTTCTGGGAAATCTCATGGACAGAGAATCCTGGAGGGTTACGGTCCACGGGGTCAGAAAGAGTCGGGCGCGACTAAAGTAACTGAGCACACACGCATGCTCGCAGGTACCACTCTAACTTAGTCAACTTATATAGATGCTGAGGGGAGGAGAGAATTTGGCAGGGTTTAACCTAGATCAGTGATCCTCAACTGGGGGAAATTTCTACTCCTGCTCAAGAGGTGTTATTCAAGATATTTCTGCTCCTTACACCTGGGGATAGGAGGAATGCAATTGACATTCAGTGGGTCAATTCCAGGTGTTCAATGTCCTACAATAATATATAAGACACTCTGCACAACCACAAAAATATGATCCAGCATCAAATGTCAGTAGAGACAGGATGAGGACCACTAGGCTCTGCCCCATAGAAGAGAGGAACAGGGAAGGGATCCCTGAAGAAGTGGAGGCAACTCAAGTGAGGTGAAACTGGAGGCTAGAAGCTTCCAGGCAGGAGAGAGCAGGTGCAAAGGACCAAAGTGTTAAGTCCTTAGTTGTGTCTGACTCTTTTGTGACCCTATGGACTGTATAGCCTGCAAGGCCCCTCTGTCCATGGAATTCTCCAGGCAAAAACACTGGAGTGGGTAGCCATTCCCTTCTCCAGGGGATCTTCCTGACCTAGGGATTGAACCCAGGTCTCCTGCATTGCAGGCAGACTCTTTACCATCTGGGCCTAGGCACAGAAATGTTATGTACCTTGGCTAAATCACACAGCCAGTAAGTGGCAGAACTGGAACCGAAACCCAGGTGTGTTTTCAGAGTTTGCCTTTAATGACTCTTTTACTATTTATTTTAAATATCAAACCGTAGAAGTGCCTAGGCTGTTTATTTTCATTTTATGTCTTTTATCCCTATCTTAATTAAGGAATAATTGACAAAATTTTGTATAATTAAAGTGTAAGACTTGAAGTTTTGATACATGTATACACTCTGAAATAATTGCCACAATCAAGCTAATTAACATAAGACTCTTTATTTTGATAATATCACTAAGAGTTCCCACAAATAAAAATGTTTGTCCATATAACATGTCAGCTATGGATTTAATCCCCTTATCCTATTTTCTCACTTAATCCTTATAACAATCCTAAGGAATTAGAAAAATTAGTCCCATGTAACAGATGGGGAAACTAGGCTTAGTGTGGTTAAGTGAGATGCATCTTCAGGGATGGGTTTGAAAGAGCAGTGAGGTAATCTGTTTCCTTCCCATGGTTGACACCCTGTTTCTGGGTCTAGATCTGCCTGGACATGGACAATCAGACTCAAGTCTCTGAGTTCATCCTCCTCGGCCTCTCCCAGCAGCCCCTGCAGAGACAGTTGCTCTTCAGCCTGTCCTTCATCCTGTATTTGAGCGGGTGCCTGGGGAATCTTCTCACCATCCTGGCCATCATCTTGGACCCTCACCTCCACAGCCCCATGTATTTCTTCATCAGCAACTTGTCTCTTCTTGACATCTGCTTTATGTCCACCACCATCCCCAAGATGCTGGTGAACCATCTGTGTGGGCTCACCATCATCTCCTTCTCAGCTTGCCTGGCCCAGATGTATTTCTTCATTGCCTTTGGGGCAGCCGACAGCATGCTTCTCTCGGCCATGGCTTACGACCGCTACCTGGCCGTCTGCAGCCCACTGCACTACGTGACAATCATGGGTGTCCTTCGGTGTGCCTTGCTGGTGGTGATACCCTGGATCTCAGCCAACCTCATCTCCATGGTCCACACTCTCCTGATGTCCCACTTGTCCTTCTGCACCAATAGGATCCCACACTTCTGTGACCTCAATGCCTTGATCAAGCTCTCCTGCTCTGACACCCAAGTCAACGAGATGCTGGTGTTGGTCCTTGGGAGCTCAGTGGTCCTCATCCCTTTTGTGTGCATCATGGCCTCTTACACACCCATTGCTGTGGCTGTGTGGAAGGTGCCCTCAGTCCAGGGCAGGTGGAAAGCATTCTCCACATGTGGCTCTCACCTTTGTGTTGTCTGTCTCTTCTATGGGACTATCATCGGGGTCTACTTCAACCCTGCATCCACACACACCACCCAGAGGGACATGGCAGCCACAGTGATGTACACCGTGGTCACCCCCATGCTGAACCCCTTCATCTACAGCCTGAGGAACCGAGATCTGAAGGGGGCCCTGAAGAAACTTCTTCTCAGCAGGAACCCCTTTGCCCCAGCGTCTTTAGAGACTCTTTTTAGGCCTAATTGCTTTTGAAATAAACTGGATAGGGAAGCAGTGACAGATTTTATTTTCTTGATCTCCAAAATCACTGCAGACAGTGAGTGCAGCCTTCAAATTAAAAGATGCTTCCTCCTTGGAAGGAAAGCTATGACAAACCCAGACAGTATATAAAAAAGCAGACATCACTTCCAGTAGTCAAGTACAGATGTGAAAGTTGGACCATAAATAAGGCTAAGGACCAAAGAATTAATGCTTTTAAATTGTGTTTCTGGAGGAGACTCTTGAGAGTCTCTTGGAGAGCCACAAGATCAAACCAGTCACTCCTAAGGGAAATCAACCCTGAATATTCATTAGAAAGACTGATGCTGAAGCTGAAGCTCCAATATTTTGGCCACCTGATGTGAAGAGCCGACTCATTGGAAAAGACCCTGATGCTGGGAAAGACTGAAGGCAAAAGGAGAAAGGGGCAGCAGAGGATGAGATGTTTGGATAGCATCACTAACTCAATGGACATGAATTTGAGCAAACTCCAGGAGATAGTGGAGGACAGATGAGCCTGGAGTGCTGCAGTGTTGCAAAGAGTTAGACAGGACTTAGTGACTGAACAATAATGACAACAATGCTTCCCAATATTAGAATGTTTTTCTTTTAAAGATAGAAACAATATATTTTTATTCATGTAAGTACTTTATTGAATATATTTGACATACAACATTGTATAAATTTAAGGTGTATAAATCATTACCTTGGCACATTTGTGTATAGCAATATGACTTCCACTGCAGTGATATTTTGCACCTCTGTCACATTAAACAATTTTCCTTTCTCTTAACTGGTTGGGATAATTCAGTTTTAGTTTTTCAGCAAGTTTTGTGATTGTAGTATAATATTGTTGTCTATACTGTTCACTAAATTCTCTGACTTCTTTACTATTCATTGCAATTTTGTACCCTTAAAAACATCAGTCTTACTACTCCACTCTTCCATTCCCTGGTAACTACCATTCTGGTCTTTACATATTTGATTATTTTTTTAGCTTCCAGATATAAGTGATTTCTGATTCCATATGATATTTGTCTTTCTCTTTTTCACTTATCTCACTTCAGTTCAGTCACTCAGTCATGTCTGACTCTTTGCGACCCCATGGACTGCAGCATACCAGTCTTCCCTGTCCATCACCAACTCCCAGAACTTTCTTAACCTGTGTCCATCAAGTCAGTGATGTCATCCAACCATCTCATCCTCTGATGTCCCTTTCTCCTTTTGCCTTCAATCTTTCCCAGCATCAGGGTCTTTTCCAATGAGCCAGCTCTTCGCATCAGGTGGCCAAAGTATTGGAGGTTCAGCTTCAGCATCAGTCCCTCCAATGAATATTCAGGGTTGATTTTATTTAGGAATAACTGGTTTGATCTTGTTGCTGTCCAGGGGACTCTCAAGAGTCTTCTCCAACACCACAGTTCAAAAGCATCAATTCTTCAGCACTCAGCTTTCTTTATGGTCCAACTCATATCTGTACATGACTGTCGGAAAAACCATAGCTTTTACTATATCGACCTTTGTTGGCAAAGTAATGACTCTGCTTTTTAATATATTGTGTAGATTTGTCATAGCTTTTCTTCCAAGGAGCAAGCATCTTTTTATTTCATGGCTGCAGTCACCATTTTAGAGCCCAAGAAAATAAAGTCTGTTCCTGTTTCCATTGTTTCCCAACCGGTTTGTCATGAAGTGATGGGACCAGATCTTAGCTTTTTTGAATCTTGAGTTTTAAACCAACTTTTTCACTCTTCTCTTTCACCTGCATCAAGAGGCTCTTTAGTTCCTCTTCAGTTTCTGTGGTTAGGGTGGTGTCATCCGCATTCCTGAGGTTATTGATATTTCTCCCAGCAGTCTTGATTCCAGTTTGTGCTTCATTCAGCCCAGCATTTCACAAGACGTACTCTGCATATAAGTTAAATAAGCAGGGTGACTATATACAGCCTTGACGTACTCTTTTCCTGATTTGGAACCAGTCTGTTGTCCCACGTCTGCTTCTAACCGTTGCTTCCTGACCTGCATACAGGTTTCTCAAGAGGCAGGTCAAGCTGTCTGGTATTCCCATCTCTTTAAGAATTTTCCAGTTTGTTGTGAGCCACACAGTCAAAAGCTTTAGCATAGTCAATAAAGCAGAAGTGGATGTTTTTCTGGAATTCTCTTGCTTTTTCTATGGTCCAACAGATGTTGGCAATTTTATCTGTGGTTTCCTCTGCATTTTTTAAATCCAGCTTGAACATTTGGAAGTTCTCAGTTCACGTACTATTAAAGCCTAGCTTGGAGAATTTTGAGCATTACTTCAGTAGCACTTGAGAAGAGTACAATTGTGTGGTAGTTTCAACATTCTTTGGCATTGCCTTTCTCTGGGATTGGCAGATGAAAATTGACATTGTTCAGTCCTGTAGCCACTGTTGAGTTTTCCAAATTTGCTGGCATATTGAGTGCAGCACTTTCACAGCATCACCTTTAGGATTTGAAATAGCTCAGCTGAAATTCCATCACCTCCACCGGCTATGTTTGTAGTGATGCTTGCTAAGGCCCATTTGACTTCACACTCCAGGATGCCTGGCTCTAGGTGACTGATCACACCATCATGGTTATCTGGGTCATTAAGATCTTTTTTTATATGTGTGTGTGTGTGCTCAGTCACTTCAGTCATGTCTAACTCTTTGCAACCCTGTGGACTATAGCTTGCCAGTCTCCTCTGTCCACGGGCTTCTCCAGGTAAGAATACTGGAATGAGTTGTCATGGTCTCTTCCAGGGATTTCCCAGACAGTCAATCCCTTACCCAGTTTGCCCTTCTCCCTATTTCCCCTTTGGTAACGTCTACTTTTTTCCATATGTACATTTTTGTTTTTGTTAGGTTTGGCTTGTCCACAAACCAAAATTTGGGTGTTTTTTTTCCCTGGTTATTTGTTTATTAGTTTTTTATATTCCATGTATGAATGAAATTGTATGGTATTTATCTTTCTCCAGCTTTCTTATTTCACTAAGCATAGTACCCTCAACATCCATCCATGATGTCATAAATGGCAGGATTTCACCTTTTAAGGATTTTATATATATATATATATATATATATATATATATATATACACACACACATGTTGAAGGTATTATGCTAAGTGAAATAAGTCAGCTGGAGAAAAACAAATACCATACAATTTCACTCATACATGAAATATAAAAAATAATAAACATAAATGCCAAATAAACAGACAAACCAAATCAAATGAAGACAAACACATAGATATGGAAAACAAAGCAGATGTTGTCAGAGGGGAAATAGTGAGAAGAGAAAATTGGGTAAAGGGGTCAACTGTCTGTTGATGGATAACAACTACTGTTTAAATTGAATTATAAGTGATGTGAAACATTATATTAATGTCAGTTACAGGTGTATAATATAGTAATTTATAATTTTTAAATGTTATACCCATTTATTTTTATTATAAAATGTTGACTATATTCCCTATTCTGTACAGCATACCCTTATAGTTTATTTCGTATGTAGCAGTTTGTGCCTCTTACTTCCCTGCTCCTGAATTGTGCCTCCCCAGGGAGGCATTAAGTGCATTAAGTATTCATGTAACCAGTAGTTTGTTCTCTACATCTAAGTTGGAAAATCTAAATTTTTAGTGATGAACACACTATCAAGGGTCTACTCCACAGAACAGACACATAATTTTGTACAAATGAAACTTACATAATATTATAAATCAATGTGACCTCAATAAAAATAAATTTTTTAAAAGGTGACATAAACATTGTAACAAAACACAACACACACACAACAAACCAAGCAACCAGTTCTTCATGGCTGAATAGCTTGGCCAAGCTGTTTAACCCCTCTATGCCTTTGTTTCTTAAACCTGGAAAACTGGGAGGCCATGAATACCTAACTCATGCAGTTATTGTGAGAACTAATGATTCACATACACACCTGTTTATATATTAATAATTATAATCTAAGAAGGTTATCAGGATCAGAGTGAGTAGTTTCTAAATCAGACAGTATGAACTACTATGCTACCACACAATTATAGTACACAGATAACATACTATAAACACTTTACTACCACTAAAGTTGTTAGAAAGCCCAAATAATTTTTTAAAATGACATCATCTTGTACAGAAATAGACATGTAAAACAGTAGAACAGTGTAAGTGTCATGGGACAGCCCCACGTGTAAATAAATTTGCTCTACTAAAAAGGGTGGCATTGCAAATCAATGGGTTATTTATTAAACTGTGCTGAGGTAATATTAGCCGTTAAAAATAAACTCTATCACTACATGCATATTAGAGCAGCTAAAACCTGGAACCCCAACAACAGTACATGCTAGCAAGGATGTGGAACGATAGCATCTCACTCATTGCTGGGAACGTGAAAAGGCGCAGTCATTTGAAGGACAGTGTGGCTGTGTCTCACAAAACTAAACACACTCTTGCTATCCAGCAATCACACTCCTTAGTGTTTAGTCCAATACTCAGTTAGGTTCACACTAAAACCTACACAGGGATGTTTCCAGCAGGTTTGTTCATAATTGTCAAAATTTGAAGGAACCAAGGTATCCTTGAGTGGGTGAATAGATAAATACTGTGAAACATCCAGACACGAGACTATTATTAAGTGCAGGAAACCCAAACAAACAAAAATGTTCTATCAAGCCATAAAACAATTGAAGAGCCTTTAACACACACAAAAAAATGAAAGAAGCCCGTCTAAATGGGCTACCTGCTGTGTAATCCCAACAGAATGATATGATAGGAAAAGCAAGCCCCTGGAGAGAGTAAAAAGGTCACTGGTTGCCAGAGGCTAGCAGTGAGGGATGGATGAATAGGCAGAACACAGAGGATCCTTAGGGCAGGGGAAATACTCCACATGGTATAATACTGATGAATACACCTCATTAAACATTTGTTGAAATCCAGAGACTGTATGAGAGTGAAAGACAATGTAAACTATGAACTTTGGTCATGATGGTGTACCAGTGTATGT